AGGAAGGAAGGAAGGAAGGAAGGAAGGAAGGAAGGAAGGAAGGAAGGAAGGAAGGAAGGAAGGAAGGAAGGAAGGGCTGTACCTGTGCAGTGAAATAGAGGAAGAGAAGCCATGACAAGGAAGAGCTAACGCTCTCTGCCTGATTGTTGTCTGGATGGGAAACCATCAGGTAGTTCTAATGAGGAAAAGCAGGATGACAAACTGTCACAACAGGGCAACGGCAGAAAGAGATAGAAAGAGGGACTCCATTGAGGTTATCTCTCAAACCCACCTCCCCACCCCCAAGCTAAGACAAGCATTGAACTCTATAACAGAGGTTCTGGAGTGGTACTTATAATGACCATGCAACACACTCATATACACAACGCATGTATGTGTACAAACACACTCCACCACCATTGACTTGTTCCTCTTGTGTTCTGTTCTTTTTATTTTTAATTACAGTGTCATCTAAGGATAAATAGGCTTTGGGCCATTTCGGTTGTGTTTGGTCTTCTAGCCCAACTCCTAGGTCATAGGAACATGTAAGATTATAAGCCACACCCTGCTGGATGGGACACCTATCCCATCTCATCCAGCAGTCTGTTCTCACAGCGGCCAACCAACTGAGCCAGGAAGCCCATGAGTCTCCTAGCAGAGGGCCTACAGAGGCAGCCCCCCTGCCATCAAAGCTAATAACCCTTGATCTCCAGGACTTCCATGAATTGGTCTAACCCTTCTCTGAAGCCAACCAAGCTGGTAGCCAGCACCACATCTCATGGTAGCAAATTCCAAAGTGTAATTTTGCACTGTGTATAAAAAAATATTTCCTTTGGGCTGTCTGATTCTTCCAAGATTCAATTTCATCGGGTGACCTCTGGTTCTAGCATTGTGGGGAGGGGAAAATAGCTTCTCCTTGCCCACCTTATCCTCTTTTCCCTCTAGGAGGCACATCCTGACCACGAAGACGTTTTGAAAGCAGTTGCGTTCTTCAAGTCTCTTGTGGTAGGTCTCCAAGCAGCAGCGAAATTGCCCTCGAGGGGGCACTCTTTCCTCAGGCAAGGTTTCAATTATGATTTGTCGGGAAAGTGATCTTGTTTTATCGCCTCTTCTGCTGTTCTCCTTGCAAGGCAGAAGGTAAAATAATCTGCTTCTTTCCTCCCCAGAAAAGGAGCAACACTTTTGGGTGGGAGGGGAAGGAACTGAAGCTAGGAAGCGAGAAGGAGGAAATGTTCATTAAAGCAGGATAAACGATACTATTAATTAAACTGGGAGCATTGAGGGGATCTTAACTCTTAACACGAAAGCATCAGGGGTCTGGAGGAAGGGCAGAAATGTCATGGATGTCAGATGCTATTTCCCAAATGGCATGAATTATATCATTTGCGTGATAATGTCATGACACACATTATGCCATTGGGGCTGTAATGGATGCCTATGGATTATTTCTATGAAATTTCTGTCCCAACTTTTATATCTTCTATGAATTAACCTTAGGATAAGGTGGGTCTTTTTACCCTGGCCCCCAGAATCCCCTCTAATTATACCACCATATTTTAATTTCCTGCCATTTTGAGGTAGAGAACACATGAAAACTGTAGCATAGACTTGAAGTAAGATTCAAATACTACTACTACTACTACTACTAATAATAATAATAATAATAATAATAATCCCATTTTCCCATTCC